TAACTTTGATCTTTCTGTCTCTTCCAATAAATGAGATGTCTTCTGCTTCTGGAATGGTGACCTGCCCACCTCAGATTTTCCCCGGTCCTCTGGGATATATCATCATGTAGCTGAGTACACAGCTCTTTGTGGAAGACCCACTGAGACATTGATTGCTGCTGTGTGATGGAGAACATGCCAATAAGATACTGTTTCATGTTTAAAAGTCAAAAGCAAAAGAGGGTGCCTTATACTGCTTTCCCTCTTTTTATTTGGTCTCTGCTGTCTTCCCATCAAAGGACAAATCTGAATGAAAAGTTCCCTCAGCCTTGCATCCTGCTCATCAAAGCAGATCTGCTATAGGAAATAGCATCTAAGGAAATTCTAACTCTAATACAGCCACGATAGTTTCAGTCAAGAGCACATGTCTCAGACTACAACTCCTATCATCCCCGCATCATAGAGAACCTAAAAAGCTGCCTTACAGTGATTTCAGACCATTGGTCCATCTAGCTCAGCATTGCTGATGCTAACTGGCAACAGTTCCTCGGGGCTTCAGGCAGGAATTCTGTATGTAAAGCATGTGCTCTACCTTGCAGCCATGGCCTTGCCTCATTGGCCATGCTGACTGGGGTTGATGGGAACTGTAGTCCAAAGTATCTGGAGGGCCCTAGGTTGGGGAAGGCTGTAGAGAGACCTACAGATTGAGAATCTGGGCATGTTGAAAAGTCAGCTCATGTGTTCCTGAGGGTGAGCAGCTGGTCTCAGCTGCTGCCATCGGCTTTGCTCCCACTGGGCACACACATGCAGGGGTTTCCCATTCCAGTCCTAACTGCTGACTTCCATGCATGTCTGGAATCAAGAGGCATTGTTGGTTAGCAAGGAGACAATAATTATGAGACTACTAACTTTGGCGGCTATTCTCCTTTGAAAAAACAACAATGGGAATGACACAGGAAAGTATACAAGTCTGTTGTATTTGTTCAGAATTTTAGTCTCTTGAGGCCTGGATGTTTCAACCAGGATGTGCTTGGGGCATTGTCAAAGTTGGAGTGACAAGCTGACAAAACCTGGCAAGTGTTTGCAAATAGCACTTCAATAGTTAGCAGAGCTCTTGATTCTCTTTCTCAGATAAGTGAAATTTAATTCTAGCCATCTAAAATATCCTACATCCCTTCTTCACATTGAAAAATGTACATGGAAACAGCACAATGAGATTGCAAGTTCCAAGGAATGGACAGCTCTTACTCTCTGACCCTATTTATGAGTTGAAGTAACTACACAGCCTCAGTGGAGACTAGCCACTGGTAGAGCAAATGTCCAGTATACAGAATATCACCCCTTCTCCTGTCAAAAGCACGTCTTGGAATAACTGTGACCATGAAGAACAATCACTGGCCAAAGTAAACAATACTGGGTAAGGTGAACCTGCAGCTTCCTATGTTCATATGAAGTTCTGGAATGGAAGGATGGATTTTTAATCTTCAACCAGGTAAGCAAACTTTTGTGTTTTCTCATCACATGTTCTGTGTGGGTGTGTTGTAGAAAAGCACTGAGAGTTGAAATACTTCAATCAACAAATTAATATGTTAGCAGTAGCTGCAGTTCCCAGTGCACTAAAGTCCTACTAAACTATTTAATATAGATATTTCTGCTCTTTTTAAAGGTACCCCCCCACCTAGTGATGACTATGTAAATCAACAGTAAAAATACAACAAATAAAAGCAGGACCAAAAAGGACACACACAAGTAAAACAGTGAAAAAATTCAGGTGATGCTACAAGATCTTCAGGTGGCACCAGGAGAACCTCCCCAAAGAATTGCATCATACTTAATGTTAATCTAACTAAAGTCATATTGATTTCAGTGGGTGTACTCCATGTAGAGGCTACCGATGTGGTGGTGCAGTGGGTTAAACTGCTGAGCCACTGGGCTGGTTGATCAAAAGGTCGACAGTTCAAATCCGCAGACAGGGTGAGCTCCCGTACACTGTCCCAGCTTCTGCCAACCTTGCAGTTCGAAAGCATACAAATGCAAGTAGATAAAAAGGTACCACTTCCGTGGGAAGGTAACAGTGTTCCGTGCACCTCGGTGTTTAGTCATGCTGGCCACATGACCACGGAGACTGTCTGAGGACAAACGCTGGCTCCCTCGGCTAGGAAACGGAAATAAGCATTGCCTCCTAGAGTCAGACATAACTGGACTTTAATGTCATGGGGAAACCTTTACCTTTACTCCATGTAGAACTAACATTCCTACAATCCAGAGGAAGTGTCAGGCAAGGAAGAACATTCCTATCATGGGTTTTCCACTCCTTCCTGCCTTGCCCTCACAAAAGTCTCTGAAGCAGACCGTAATACCCAGGTGATGTTAGGGATGAATATTTGAATTTTTAATTATAAAAGAGACAAAGGTTAACTCCAGTCAAACAAGTACCCTTGCCTTCAAAAAAGCCGACTTCTAACTCAACGATAAGCAAGGTGCCATGACAACTCATTTTTAAGAGAAAAAGAGTCCAAGAAGGGTGGAAAATCTGGAAAAAGAAGATTCTCCAAGTACAACTACAAACAATTCCAACAAGAGAAAAGTGTAGAAGACAACAGAGGAAGCTCACATAGCTCCACAAAAAGTTAAGTGACAACTTGAGGGGGAAAAATCAACTTGGGAGGTGGAAGCAGGGCCTGGCCAGAAAGGAAGAATATAAACAAATAACAAGGAATTGCAGGGATGGTATCAGGAAGGCTAAAGCAGGAAATGAACTGAAAATAGCAAGGGATGCGAAGAACAACAAGAACACCTTCTTCAGATACATCCAAAAGAAAATACATGTGAAAGAGAACGGTGTCCAGCTACTTAAAGTGGATATCAGAATGATAACAGATGACAAGGAAAAGGCAGAGCTCCTCAGAGGAAGCACAAAGTGAAAGAGAGATGGAAGCCCAAGATTGACAGATGAATGGTCAAGGAATTCCGAGATGGAATACACATGTTCACATTTCCAGGGCCTGATGAACTCCATTCCAGAGTCATAAAAGAGTTAGCAGAGGAACTCTCAGAACCGCTGGCTATTATCTTCAATAAATCTTGGAACACAGGAGACATGCCAGACAACTGGAGAACGGCTAACATTGCCCTTAGCAACGGCTAACATTGCCCTTAAAACGGGGGAAGTGGTGAATCTGGGAACTACAGACCAGTTAATCTGACATCAATCCCTGGAAAAATTCTGGAGAAAATTATTAAAAAAATCAGTCTGCTGTCACCTTGAAGAAAATGCAATGACTAAGAAAAACCAACATCAATTTATCAAAAATAAATTCTGTCAGGCTAATTAAATCTCATTTTTTGACTAGGTTACCTCCCAAATGGACAGAGGGAACACTGTGGACATAATCTACCTAGACTTTAGCAAAGCTTTCAACTTAGTGCCCCATGACAAATTAGCCAAAGGTGGACTACACAGAAAAACTATTAGGTGGATCCAAAATTGGCTACTAAATCAGACACAAAGAGTGCTCATCAATGGTAGCTTCTCAAACTGGAAGGAGGGAGCTAGTGGGGTGCCACAGGGTTCAGTTCTAGGCCCAGTGCTCTTCAACATCTTTATTAATGATTTAGATGAGGAAGTACAAGGAAAGATAGTCAGATTTGTAGGTGTAAATCTGTAAGCCATCTGGACTTTGAGTATTGGGACAGCACATAGAAACTTTCAATCAATCAGTCAATCAATCGATGCTAAACTGGGTGGAATAGCAAACACCCTAGAAGACAGAATGAAGATCCAGGGTGATCTTGATGAATGCTGGGCTAAAGCAACAGAATGAGGTTCAGGAGGGAGAAGTGCCAAGTCCTCCACCTAGGAAAAAGAAACCAAATGCATCGATACAAGATGGGGAATATGTGGCTCAACAGAACTCAAAAAGAGAAAGACCTTGGAGTAATCGTGGACAACAGGCTGAATATGAGCCAACAATGCAATGCAGCCACACAAATGGCAAATGCTATTTCGGGGTGCATCACTAGTCAGACCCCATCTGGAATATTGTGTCCTCTTCTGGGCACTAAGATTTAAGAAAGATGCAGAAAAATTAGAAAGGTTCTAGAGAAGGGCAACAAAAATGATCCAGAGTTTGGAGACACTGCCCTGTGAGGAGAGACTGAGAGAACTGGGCATGTTCAGCCTTGAGAAGAGAAGACTGAGGGAGGCATGATATCCTTCTACAAGAACAGTGGAACCTTGGCTCATGAACTTAATCCATTCCACAACTCTGTTTGTGACCCAAATTGGTTGTGACCCAAGTCAAATTTCCCCATAAGATTCAAGGTAAATAAGGTTAATCTGTTCTGGCTCCTCCAAATGTGGTTCTGAGCCAATTTTGGTTGCGAGCCAAGTCAAATTTCCCCATAAGGTTCAATGTAAATAAGGTTAATCCATTCTCTAACTTCTTTTTAATCAGAAAATGTTGAAACAAAGTGACAAAGAACAACAAAGTACAGTACAGTACAGTGGAGGACACTAACCTAGGTGTGGGGGAGGTTATTGTTTTGAGGGAGAGTCCCCCTCCATAAGGACATTGGGGAGATCTCAGGGGTTTCCTCTCTTCTTTGTCTCTTAGCTGCAGGGTCAATTTTGGTGAAAAATCTGTCTATAGTCACTTGTTTTTTCCTGTGCTGCATAACCCTCTGGAAATGAGAGACCATGTTATTGTTCATCAGATTCAACACTCTGTTCGTTACAGTTATGTTGGGGTGGTGCTTCTCAAAGAAATCCTGGCACGGGCACACTCCTGCAGGAAAGACAGGCACAGCACAGCACAGCTGCGATCATGCACATCTTCCCTGCACGAATGCGACTGCGATCGTGGCCATCTCCCCACTCGGGGGCAGGGGGGAGATGGTCTCAATCATGCTGGTTGGTGGGGGGAGATGGCAGAGATTGTGCCCCTCTTTCCTGCAGGAGCACGCCCGTGATCACGCATCTCTTCCCTGCACGAATGCAACTGCGACCGTGGCCATCTCCCCACTCGGGGGGCTGGGGAGATGGCTGCGATCTTGGTTGCCACCCAATGTGGAGTTTGTGATCCAAGTCAAAATTTTCATGAAATTTTTGTTCGCGACCCCATTTGGTTATGAACCAAGGCGTTCGCGAGCTGAGGTACAACCGTACCTCAAAGGGTTTCAGAAAGAGGAAGATCAAGATATTTCCTCGTTGATATGAGTGTAGAATTCAGGCTAGATAATTAGGAAAGTTACAGATTCAGGCTAGATAATTAGGAAAAGCTTCCTCACTGTCAGAGCAATACAACAGTAGAACCAGTTGCCTAAAAAGGTCATGGGCTCTCACACAGTAGAGACATTCAAGGTGAAACTGGACAGCCATCTGAGTGGGATGGTGTGACCTGGTGTCCTGCATTGGTTAGTAGGAACCAATGGCCTTCTTGACCCCTTCCAACTGTACTATGATTCTATGAAATACATAGACTACAGAATACATGAAATACAACTGACTACAACAGTCAATTAAATTACCTCAGGCACAGCAATGATAAGATAATTACAATTTCTAAAAATATAAAATATTCAACAGTTTTTCTAATGTCTGGTAAATAACAGTATCTTTGCCTGGCATTAGAAAGATAACAAAGAGGCTGCCAGGCATACTTCTCTGGGGAGTATATTCCATAATTGGGATGCAACCACTGAGAAGGCCCTCATCTTGTTTGCCAGCCCTCTCACTTCTTTGGGGGACGGTTCCCTGAAAAGGTTGGCATAGTGCTTTTTTGTGCTTGCTGTAAGGAGGCAGAACTGAACCAAAGTTCCAGTTTCCATCTCGGACCTTGGAGCTGGGGGTGCAAACTATTCCATGGTCATGAAACAAAGTCTAAGGGCCAAAGGGTCCTTTCCACCGTGCTATAGAGGTCAAATCCAGTACTTTGAACAGGGCAGCTGTTTTAAAACTGGATATATTCAAGGATAAGTGCATTGTGGGTTGGGATAAGTCTGGAGACAACAGTTCTCCATCGTCCTAATTCTGTAAATCAGTGTCTGTGAAAGTAGGTCACCTGCCTATCTGCTAAGGCTGAATGGCATGTGCAGAAAGGGATAAATGGGGAATATGGATTGGGGGATATGAAAGATGTTCATGGACGACCACAGTCCTAGCTGAAGATAAATAGATGAGGAAGTCCATCACACTGGAAAGTGTCCTGACAGGGAACATAAAGAAGGCCCCTGATGAACCAAAGCAAGAGTCCATCTAGTGCGTTGCTCTAGTTACACAATGGGCAACCAGCTGCCTGAGAAACACATCAGGAGGCAACAGTGCAAGCACCTCATGTCTCCCAGCAACTAGTACACCTAGGCATACTGCCTCTGATATGAAGGCAGCCTGCAGCCATCTGGAAGAGTAGCCATGGATCACTTGGTCCTCCATGAATGTGCACAATCCCCTTTCCAAAGCCATCCCAACTGGTGGCCATAACCACTCGTACGTTTTGTACTCCTTCCATAGCTTAAGTGTGTGGTGTGTGAAGCACTTTCTTTTATCTGTCCTCAATCTCCCTCCATTCAGCTTCATGGGATGACCCCTGGTTCTAGTACCTAGGGACAATCCTGGTTTCAGAGCAAGCTGCTCTTCAGCTGGATGGAGACAAACCGTGATCTCATTTTAAGGCTGTGCAGCTACAGAAGGTAAACAAAGGAGACAGCATCTGCTTTATTGAGGCCCAAGGACTCTCTAGGGCCGGCCCTGAAATCTGTTCACAGCAACACAATCTTTCACAGCTCCCTTGCCATTCTGTTCTTGCCTCCTTCTAATACATCGAGGCTCACTGATCACATGGATAACCTTGGTTAAATGCAACACTGAAATAGTTTCTTGGGTCATTACAACAGCCTCCAACCCTCCTGCTGTTTAATATATTGTAAACAACTATTTGGTATGTTAAAAGTTTTGTAACTGGGACACCATTGGCCAGAAATGACTAAAGGTATTTGCATAAGCAGCATTGCTCTGTATCTCATTGAATGAACTTTCTCCCCATTCCATCCAAAGATGAGTTCACTGTAGCTTTGAAGTTTGCATATTTTGGTTGTGAATGGAAATTGGTCCAATAAAAGTGATTGCCTTGCTCATTTTGAGTCACTCACATAAATGAAATGAGTCCATTGAGATTGGAAGGACCCTGCCTGTTGACTTTATACACCTGAGGATGTCTGCCTGGGTGCCTACCAGCATTAGCAAGGCAGAAACTAAAGTGAGTCGCTTTCCTTTGTGGGAGGAAGAGTTTAGCCATGTAAACAAGCTCAGGGAGTTGGTTTTCCCATACCAATCTGACACCACTCCCTAAATGTGAGTCTACAACTCCTGTTACCCCAGCTAATGGAATTTACTGTATTGCAGATAAGATAGCACATCTCCACAAATGCTCATCCACTGTTGCTTATCAAAGGATATGGTCATGGAGAGGCTCCTTGCACTGATCTTGAAGAATATCATTTGAAAACAAAGGAAATCAGCATCTTGTAGCTACAAAGATAAGTACCCATAGGTATGTTGTTTTCAAAGCCAAAAAGCAACCTATATGCATTTCCAGCCATAACCTACCAGGGCAGCATTGAGTTAGCCTCATCCCATATGGCTGGGCTCTTTGAATGCTGTAGGTTCTCTCTCTTTGCTCTTGGGCTTCAGTTTACAGCTTTTTGCATGTAGTCAAGGAAAACCTATGAGGCAAAGCAACCATAGCACAAAGCAAGCTGGACCTAGAGTCTGTGGAAGAAGGCAGAAGGGGAATCACCTGAGACCTGTTGCTTCATGCAGTACCTCTGCATTGTGTCTGGCTGAGAAACAGAGGTGGCTTTGCGGGAGGGAGCAGGGCAGCATCCCCATTGAAGCAGAATTTGGGCAAGGAATGCTCCATATGGAAGATGGCCAACCAACTTCCTGAGTTCAGAAAACTGTGACAATGGATGAAGATTGGTCCTCTCCCCTTATATCCTATTATCCACCAAATCCTTGCTCAGAATGAGCAAGTACGTGCCATCACTCCTTCTGCCAACTCTGAGTGGGGGAGAGAGAGAGCTGAAGGTGACTCTGCCATCATTTGATATAGACTTCAACTGACTTCTCCAGTGGGTCAATAGCCCTTTGCCAAAGGTTTCCCACCAGGAATTATGGCAACTGCAGCCTCCTATAACATGCAATTTCTCTTTGGCCAGGGATATGCACTGCTGCCTTCTCCCTTACTGGTGCTCATGAGTCCCTACCTGGAACAGAAAAAAGGTATGTTAAAAATTTTCTGGGTCACACCCAAGAACAATTGTTTGGCATGGATGTGCAGAAGCCTTATGGTCCCCTCTGGCATAGTCACAAAGAGGAGTTTGGAAACTTTTGTTTCTGCTTCTGTTAGCAATGGTTTCTTGTTATGTCTGATTCTGGAGAAACTATGATTCTGGGCAAGGGTAGGGTACGTTGTATGGCCTGGAGGCTGGATTTCCCTCCCGGTTCCCATTCCTTCCATGATCCCAATTATATAAGAAGATAGGCCCCACCCATGATATACAGGGTGGAGCTCCACTTGCGATTTCAGGGTCTCTTGACATCATTGTGCCCTTAGCCAAAGTATTGGATACTCCAGGTTTCCAGGGAAACAAGACAACTTGAAACAATGGTTTATAATTCCATGCTTCTTTGTTAAACCATGGTTAATAATAACCACAGTTTGGACCAACAACGTTACTACAATTGGTTGCTGATGAAATTAAGCTTCCAGTCCGCTCTTTGCCGGAGTGCTACAAAGACCAAGAAATGGGGAGCACGTGCGCCTGAAGTTCACAAGATCTGGTTGCTGAGCGCAACGGTGCCTCAGTATTCTCCCCTGGCACAGCATCTCCTGACACACTTTTCTTCCAAAATGGAGACAAAGCTTCTCTATAAGCTCATGGGTATTTTCCTTTAAATGTAGTGATGAGCATTATTGCAGCACACACTTGGCTCAAACTTAAATTATGGTCTGCTACAATCCAGTAAAGTCCAAGTCTTTAAATGTATGCAGTACAGAAGAAAGATAAGCCTCTCTCAGGCTATCTTTGCATTTATTCATGTAAAAAGCCTGCTTCGTAAAACAGGGAAACTTAGTGGCAATCCTCTTTGTGAGGCCCAAACTGCACACTACATGGGAATATTGCAAAGGCTGCCCAGTTGCCCAGTTTGAATTTTAAAAGCTGCTTTCCATAGGCAGGATTACAATTTATAGTTGCTGAGGCCACTGCATTTATATCCTGCATTTTTTTCCTCTTTTGAGGAATCCACGGTAGCACATCCCATTACAGCAGCTGCCTGGCCATGTGAGAACAAAACACTGGACAGGTTCTTCTTATCTATACCTTCATTCATCTAATTTCTAAGCTATTATTATTCTTACCAGTATTATTAATTTTATTTCTGTACCACCCAGCAGCTGAAGTTCTCTGGACAGTTTACAACACCAAATATTTTTTTTAAAAAAAATCTAAAATACAGATAGCACTAAAATTATAAAAAATGCAGTACAAAATTTTAAAACCAAATTAAAAAAAAACACAAGACATGTTAACCAAATTAAATCAGAATGGACATATGCCCCCAATATTATATTGAAGGAAATGAAATGCCCTGACCTCATGGTCGGTTTCTGCTCCTCAGCAACATGTGGTCAGCTTGCTTTTGCTGCTCCAAAAACAACCTCCCATCCCTCTGCATTCACTCCACACATTCAGAGCATTTGAGTCCTCTTTAAACAGTCATTAAGTCTCCAAAGAATCTTGGGGGCCGTAGTTTCTCAAGGGTTCTGAGTATCATTAGTGCACACCTATTCCTCACACGAAGAGGTGTAGTTTCCAGAGTCTATGGGGAAGAGGGATTGACTGATAAGCCATTCTGAGAATTGTAGCTCTGTGAGAAGAATAGGTGTTTTCTAGCAACTCTAAGCCCCAGAATTATTTGGGAGAAAAAAATAGCTAAAGTGGAATAAAGGTATCGTAACTGGAGTACCTTCACTGGAATCAATGGGGAAAATTGGCCATAACTTCTGATAGCCTTAAGGTCCTCTTCCTTCAGGCAGGCTACTTTACGCATGATTCAGCTTGGATCCAATGCAAGCACAATAAAAAGTTATTGGTTACTCTGAGAAACTGGAGCCCCTAATCTATGGCCGCTGGACTCGTGGAGGCTCTCCCACACATGCGCACGCGCATAATTGCAGAGGCCACAGGATATGAAAGGCAACCAAAGAGTGCTTGTCAGTCCTGACCGCTGCTCTTGGGGGAATGTCGCTGCATATGTTTCGATAAGTGTGGGGGGTGAGTGCCTGTTTGCTTCCCCCCCCACACACCCCCATCCACTTCCCCTTGTATGGCATGTTTTTAGATAGCGAGCCTGTGGACAGGAACTGCCTTATTAATTCCATGTAAGCCACCCTGGAATCTTTTTGGCTGGAGACTGGGGTATGAATGCAATAATAATTTTAAAAATCTTTCATTCACAGTAAATAAGAAAAGAAATAACTTCTAGTAGCTGTCATTGTTTCACCTCAAAGACAGATACCCTCATCTTGTATTCATTACTCAACAGAAATTCAAACACAGTGACAAAGCTCATTTTTATTGTGTAATCTTGGAGATAGTGTGGCTTTGATGGGGTGTGGCTTTGAGAGCTGGCTGTGTCTCTCATGAAGGACACCCCACTTCTAAATTGATCCCTACACCACTGCTTGGAAACATACAGACAGCCACTGTAAGTGGGCCAGAGTTGGTGTAATGAGTTGGAACCCTCTGGTCCCTGTTATTAATCCGGCTGCCACATTTTGCACAAGCTGCAGCTTCTGCGCATTCTTCAAGGGCAGCCCCAGATTGAGTGCATTGCAGTGATCTAGTTTAGAGATTACCATAGTGTAAATGACTGAAAACGGGGTATCCCTGTCCATGTTGGGGCACAGCTGTGTCACCAGCTGAAGGCAGAAAAAGCACTCCTTGACACTGAGACCACATGGCTTTCAAGTGGAAAAACAGATGGACCAAGGAGCACCCCCAAGCTCCGAGTCTGCTTCCTCGAGCAAAGTGCAGCCCCACCCAGAACAGGGTGAACACAGGCCAACTGCAGTCTTGCCTGGATGGAGCTTCTGTTGGCTAGCCTTCCTCCAGTCCCCTGTTGCGGCCACCGCTGGATTGGCACATCCACAGCCTCACCTGCAGAAAATGAACAGGAGAGAGAGAGCTGTGCATTATCAGCATACTGATGACAACATACCCCAAAACTCCAACTGAAGCCCATATTGGAGAAGCCAAGAGGTTGTCCTAGAGCAAGGTGTTTAGGGCAACATATATAATAATAAGAACTCCAAGTTTGATTTTAAAATGCAACTTTAAAATGCAACTTGATTTTAAAATGCAGCTTTGTATCATTACAAACAAAACGAGCAGCAGTTTAACAATAGTCTGGGAGAAAATAAAGGACTTCATTTGGTGCCTAAAGACTGAGAAAGAGAGCATTCTGCAATTGGAGGTGGGGGGGGGGGGACAACAAAAAGGACTAGCCACAAATAGCCACCCACCCAATCTCCGTATATGGGGTACTTCAAGGAGGATGTCAGGCCGTGATCTCAGGGCATAGGTGGAGCCATATGGGCAAAGGTGTGCCTCCAAGATAATGAGGGGACAAGTGCCACATCCTCCCTAGCCGTCTCTTTGGCTCCTGGGAAGAACTCCTCCTTAGACAAACAAGTGACATTCAGTGCACATTTGTACCACCAGGTGTGCTTAAAAATTAACTGTGGGCTCAGCATCAAAGGTAGTCTGGTTGTGCCACTGCCAAGGGTCCACACCCAGCAGGGTCCCACTGGCAAGAGCCCTCTAGAACTGCTTCCCGGAGTCAGCCCTGTGGCCCTTTCGCTTCCCAGCCTTTTAGTCTGGCCCAGACAACAGTAGCATGGCAAGAAGCAGCTGTGGACACCCAGGCCGGCTTGCTCAGGGGCTATCTGCCTGTCAGAGCAAGCACAGGGCAGCCATGATGAGCAACAAGGGTGGGAGGAAGAGCAGCTGGTGGCAGTGTAGGTGAGAAGGACGAGGCAGTGAGGGGCCCAGTGGGGGTGTGGAAAGCCCTAATGGTGTCAAGGAAAGAGGATCAACAGGACCAAATGGCTCATCTCTATGGTTTAGGAGGACCGAGTGTACCAGATGATTGAGAGAATTCTGTGATGAAGCCCGATGTGTTTCATTTTCACCTCATCAAAATGGTCTAATTATGAAAGATTAAGTGTCAATTACTCCCTAAGAGGCTGTGCTCACACTTCAGCTAAGCATGGGTGGTGGATCCACTCTAGCGTGAGCCAGAAGCATAAAAGACTTCACTAACAGAATGCCTGTTCTGTCTGGCCATCAGGGAGAAGCTAACTATAGAGGAGGCACCATAAACTGTGAAATGAGAACTGCTCCGTTCCCTATGATAAGAGGAAGCTGGCATTGAACCTATTACTCAGATTATGGTGAATCTGAATTGCTTTCCCCTTGAGCTGCTACAGAGATAGATCAGTCGGATTAAATCCCTCTCTCTTATGTAAAACAACTTAACTGGAATAGATAAAAATGTGAAGGGTTTTTTTTAAAAAAGACTTGTATGTTTCCTTGAGTCTGGATAATAATAAGTTCTTGACTTACAAATGTCTCCTTGATTGTTTAATGAATTATTTTCTGTCTCTCAGGCTGTTACTGAATGGAATGTACTAATAAAACATTCTTGAAAAATGGAATACATGTATTACCTGAAATAATTCTGGTAGAGTGATTTACTTGCATAATAAATGTACAGTATCATTTTCTCTCTGGCATCTGGTGAGCAATTGATTACTATGCCCAACGTATACACTATTATTTTCTTTAGACCTCAGGATGCTAAACATTGTGGTCCACTGTCTGCATGTTATTGCCTGTACAATTATACACCTAAAATTACTTTCGGGCAATAGTAGAAATAATAAGGGAAAATTACTTTTATGATTAGAAAGCACAAGAGATGGAGGCCTTAACCCTAAGACGACCGCAAAGATCACATGGGAGCAGGCTTCTTTGTGTGAGCGCGTGCAGTTTTAAGGGTGTGTACATTGTGATGGCTAGCATCTACTTCAGGGTGTGGAACTTCTGTTGCTTCAGATGTTGGTGTACTGCGGCTCCAATAAGCCCAGGCCATAGGCTATCTTGGCTGTGACAAAGGGGAGCTGGAATCCAACAACATCTGGCAGGTCACAGGTTCCCCACTGCTGATTTTCAGACAGGGATTTCCAGATGTTGTGGCCTATCACCTCCTGGCGTGTACAAGCAACTTTTTAAAGGGTCAGGTAGGGAGAATGTTTGGGTTAGGGTTAGAGAAAGCCGGAGAGGTCTGAATGGAACAATTCCACTACAGCAATAGGAGAACTGTGGAGGGTCTAGGGCAGTGGTGTACGGGGCAATGTGGGGAGGAGTGCAGCTCAGGGACATTTTGCAAGAGCATGAGGGCAATTTATGGTTCTCCTTGCTCTACGAAATGCACCAGGAGATTGCATGTTTTGTGGCACATCCACATGTAAGGCAGAGGTGTGGAACTTTGGAGAAAACTTTGGGAGACCAGGGCCACCAGGGAGTGAATAAAGAAGAGGAGCCTGAGCTAGTACACATGCAGGAGGAGAGGTAAAGAAGTGTCATCCACTGCCACATATGTGGGAAGGTAAGAAGCTCAGGTCGCCGCCATGTACGTGCAGGCAGCAAGGAGGAACTGTCGTGCTGGCAGCCACAACAGTGATGAAACCCAGGGGCAGGAGGGATGAAAACTAGCAGTCCTCCAGATCTCCAACCTCAAGGGAGGGCTGTCCCCAAGTGGGCTACATTTCCACAGTGAGTGGGGCCAAACACAAAGGAATGGGGCCAAACCACCAAAAATGCCAGCCTATGATCCCTGAAACTCTTACTGCCAACAATTAAGCTTTGGGAGAGGCATTTCCCCCTTTTAGAATGGGGAAAATCTGCAGAAAGGGCAGGAAGCCACCAAACCAAAGGTGGTGTGAAGAAAGGGAGTAGAGTTAGGGGAAGGGAGTGTGGCCCTTTGAAGTACGCCCGAGGGCTACACTGATCCCTTGGGAAAGCTGGATCCAGCCCTGGGGCCTGAGGTTTCTCACCTTCAATGGAAAAAGTCATTCATTAATTAAGCAGAGGCTGACTATTTCTTTCCTATTCATTGCTGGGATTCCTACTTCAGCAATTTATGGCATGATACTTCTTTGCAAGATTGCTGGCATTTTAAATTAAAAACAAATGTTGTGCTCCAGCTGGCTGAGGATCTTTGTTAAGCTCGGCATTTTACAAGCTGACCCTGTGCAATGAGAGTAAGCTGTAGGTTCAGTGGAGCTAAATCCCAGGTTATTGTGCACAGGAGTACAGGCACACGGACCCTAATACATTGGGGTTTAGGGGATGCATTGCTGCTCTTCACTGGTGGTACTGGTAGTGGTGTGGGTTGATAGAGTCAAGAGCGACTCCTGCAGTTGACCGCTCCACCACTGGTTTAAGGGAGATGCTCTCTATTAGGGACCATACCCTAATATTCTAGACAGTCTACATAGATCAATGTAGAGCTCATAAAAAGATCAGCAAAGGGTTCCTGAAATAAAAAAAATGGTGGGAAGAAACATTTAGAAAGTGGATTCCCATTAAAACATTATCACTGATAACTGGAGACATAAACTATAATTGTCCCCATTCCACATGGCTGTTTTCAAAAGAGAAACCTGCTATGGTCTAGCTTGTTTTTGTTTCCTTAGCATCATATCTAGATGGCATTGGCAGTGTAGAATGTCCATCAGTGGCCACATCATTGTCTGTAGTCTTTGCTATATGAATTAACTCCTTTCAAACTGCAAATCGATGCAGACAGTGTTACCAGTTGGCTCACTGTTGCTTTAGTTAGAGAGATGCACATTCATTTCATTCATACAGGTGTGTGAATTTCTGGTGCATCTTTGCCAACAGACAATGGTCCAACAAAAGGAAACATCTTGACTGCTCTCCGCCACCCCACTTCTTTTGGCAGGGTTTAGACATAGACTTACTGCCCATTGCTCATTTCTTCAGGCAATTCTCCTCCCTGTCAACATTCATTATCTTTGGATGGTTGAATCTTAGCCAATTCCTTCCCATTTACTTCTCTGGATCCATGGGAAATCAAAGAGGCTGCTAAATCCAGGTGTGATTTACCTTGTGTTTCATCTGCCTATTTATACGTCATTTCCTACAGCCTTGCTATCTCCACTGGTATCCATATAAGCCTCTGAATGAAATGGAGTCCCACAGAGTTCTGGTGAGATTGGGAAGTGATCTCTAGAACTAAACAACTTTGAAGAGAGGAAAAATAATCCTCCGTCAGATCTTTACATGTAAAAGTCCATTCTGAACTTGAGATTTCAACATTTAAATGTGGATTATATGTTTAGCTCCTGTGATAATTTTCATCCTCTGGTGTGTGCTGTTCGAACGCCTAAGACCTCTTTTCTGTCATCTTCTTATTAACCAGGCAGAATCTGAAAACTCACTAGAAGCCAAAAATAAAATAACATCCTACAGCATCCACACTGCCTGTCTTCTGATTGCTGAGCCTGATTTTTTGCAAATGCAGTTTTTTTTTTTTTTTGCAAGAGTTGGGTTTAGAGTTCCCTCTTGGATTTATTTCACATACTCAGCTCTTCCTCTCAGGGGTTCAGAGGGCCTTATGTATGGGTTCTGGGAGGTCCCTCATCCAAGCCAATATATAGGAGCAGAGCTGTTTTGCTTCTCAGCTAGTTATGCCCTTCAATGTCTGGTTTATTCTGCAGTGGGAAGACAGTGATGATCTTATTCAAAGACCTCAATGTTGTGCTTTGAAGTGTTAAAAATATACCGTATTGATGGTTGAACACTGGTGCATCACCATCATGGCTTAGTGACCACAGATTCCGATCTCCGGTGGTTCTTTATTCCACTGTAGCCTTCCTATATTCTGATCTGCCGATGTAATTCTAAAGTAGCGAGACAGCCTGCCAAGAGATTCTCTCAAACTGCTTTGGGTGTCCTGCCCTTCTGTCTCACTCCACTCAGCAGGCAGGAACTTGCCTTACAGCAGATCAGGCCATGGATGCATCTTGCTCCCTTTTGTTCCAGACAGGAGCCTTTTTTGGAGATGCCAGGGGTTGTCTTGCTACATTTTGGATGCAAAACCTCTGTACTTCCATTGGTCTACTGTTAGCATCAGGATGGCAGAAGACACAGATGCAGTACACTCCTTGGTACCGTGGAGTGTTTAAAAACAGACGTGACTTTCAGGTTTCTCATACCTGTCTGAAATCAAGTTAACAAACATTCAAATTCACCCACAGAATGAAGATGTGAATAGAGTTGCTCGACACCTTATTATTCATCTGTAAAACCAGAATCTTTAGCCCTATTCGGACACCTTTAATGCATTAAATCTAACGACATACTATCCATCAGTGGATATCTGATGGTGTATGGGACTTGGACCTTTTCTCTTCCCTTGCAGCTCTCTCTCTTGACTAAAGGTCTCCCAGCCTTCTGGAGCAGATTTTGAGTGGGCGCATAAAGTCCATGCACTGGGCATCCCTTTGTGAAATGGAGAGGCATGTGAATGGAGTCTGTGCACAATGGAATGATTGCTGCACGGAGGCTGTGACCCCAGCTCTGCACACGGTCTAGACGCATGTCTGCATAGGGCTTTGGCGCTCCAGGAACTCGGCTGGTGCAGTGTGTTAGCAGATGCCTTCTTTCCCTGGGACTTCCCTGCTGCCTGCTTAGAGCAGCCCTGCCTCTCCAGGCTTCATTGCAACCGGACCTGCTCTCCTCGCTGCTTTCATTGTCTTTCTGTGTAGCACACTTGCCTGTGTGTTTTCCAAATCCCTTTTAGCCCTGCATGTCTATAATTTAAATTCAAGGTGCTCCACAGGCGGTAGGGATATTTGAAGTACGAGAAGAAAGCTGGATGAGTCACTGAACTATAAGGTGAAATAGCAAATCTGCTCTCAGTTGTTTTGTGCAGCGGTACCTCGCAAATTGTTGTAGCACACTGACAGTGTGGCTGTCAGCACACTTATTAGGGAGTTAGTCCCACTGAGTTCAGCAGGACTTATTTCTGAGTAAACATGTTCACGACTGCACTGTTAATCCCCTGAAATTAGGTGTCTAAATGATACCTCTAGCTTTTTCCTACTTCTACCTTGTGCTCCCGCCCACTAATGCTAATATTTAGACTTTAGACTGGGTCTCTGGAAAGAGCTTGGATTCTCCATCCAGGCTGGCAGAGAAGGAATGATTGTATTCTCTGTATGCCCACATCTTGAGAAAGCAGGTAGTAAGTCTGGAGTGGATGACAGACTACCCAGTGCCACTGCATAACCCAGTGGAATAAAGAGACAAAGTCTCAGGCTCTTGAACAAATCTATACAGTTTTATTCCAAACAGCAGCTCCACAAGTTTCAGCCTTCAGTAGGGGCCTTCTTCGGGAGCAAGATTAGAGAAAAAGGGGTGGGAAACGCTTAAACATAATCTACATTACAATACATTGAAGAATGAAATATGTATTTTAAAAACCTGGCAATGGTGCTAATTATTGCACTGCAAAATTACCTGTGATTACTTACTTTTAATATACCTAATTGCCTGCAATGATCTTTGAAAAAAGATAACCTCCAAGATAAATCCTGTTATTAGTGATGAACTCTGATATGAAATGGGTTTTTTATATACATTTTAAACAAAAACACATTTTTTAGTTTCTAAAATAGTTTCTAATTAGACTCAGCCTCTCCCATAACTGGACACAAAACATATTCCAAAGGGTACATTGTGGAAGAGGTGGAAATTGCAGACTAACCAATCCTCTGATGGGTTCATAACAAATATAAGAGGAGAAACACTGGACTGAGTTTCCTCTCTCACCCAGGAGGTCATCAAAATGCTGGGGTCCTTCATCAGCCCAAGGATCAACCAACAGGGAAATGGAGGCAGCAAGGGAATGTCTATCTATCTGAAAGTATAAATTGCCTTTTGTCAGTTGGATCCCACGATGGTGCACACAATATCAAAACCGGACAACCAATCTAATAAATAAGTCATACAAGCACTGTTTCAAAAGCAAAGCAGCCAATAACAACTTTTCAACAGCAGTCAATTCAATTTAACACTTCCTTTTTAAATATTAAAATTCTAAAATAGTGAGATGTCAAAAGATTAAAATGCATGGGCCAAAAGAAACATTTTAACTTGGTACTGAAAAGAAAATACAGTTGATGCCAAATGATTCCCCTCTGGAGGGCTGTGGAAGGTAAAGCCCCATGAAGGGCACAGCTCCTTTATAGGGCAGTACCTTCTGGTGGGATGATTTTGGTGGGATCTCATTTGAGCTGGGCCTCTTGGCACCTGCAGCTGCCACAGAGGGATGCCTGGTGGGCACAGCTGCTCCTACTCCTGGGCCTGACCTGGCGACCAGGCTCCTGGTGTTTTCATTGAGCAGGTGCTCTGTGCCTGTGGAGCTCTCTTCTGCAGGAAGGGATCTTTGGATGAAGTCTCCCCTGTCTGGCATACCCTCCCAGCTGGTCCTTGTTTCGACCACTGTTTGCTGCTTTGCAGGTGCTCCAGCAGCTGTGGAGATCTTGGTATGCAGCTTCTTGGACAGGCAAGGACTCCGTGCCTGCTGCCGAGGATGGGAAGTTTTGTGCTGCGGGCCTCTGAGTTGCTGTAGGGCTGGATCAGTTTCAGCAAGGTACAAGAGGACCCCGGCGGGTGATGATGCTCGCTCTGATTGAGGGAGAGGACAGCAGTTGCTCTGGATGGTCCTTGACAGCCTAACTGGCTCAGACCTGGAGAAGAGTCATGGGAACGTGGCACATGATGGCTCTGTCTCTGTGAGGACAGGAGTGGGTAAGCAGTTGGGGTTATTTCTCCCAACTTAAACTGCCGTTGCATCGCTACTTTGGATGTATGCTCCATCTAACAGAGGCAAAACCACCGAATCAACAAATAAAATTTTAGTTACATTTTTAAACATTACAAAGATGTTACCTCCACGTACCCCTGGCCAAGTTTCTGTCTTCTGTACAGAAAGGTTACTGATTTTTGAAGAGAGTACTGTCAAATTTTGTGGCTAGCTAAAGTTTTGTTTATCAGCAACTAGGAAGCAATAATATGGACACAGCTGCAAAGACAAGAATGCCAAGGCTAAACACGGCATACCTGTTGTCCAAGAAATACAGAACTATCTTTTATGCAACCCAAATAACTGCTTCCAAAGTCATTTTTCCAGGTCCACAGCTTCAGGAATGATCAGTTGGTAGTCATAGCCAGCATAATACCACAGGATAATGGCTCTCGCAGAAGCTGTGGCCAGTTACATAAGGGCTGCTGTGCAGGCCTGGCTGGTCAAAGCTCACAGAACCCACCCAAGAAACTGAGAACAAGAAGAAAAAAGCCCTGAACTATAACACCAGTCCACATATTTACTCCACCAAAGCTAAACAAAATAGCCAGCCGAGGTTGCAATCCTATGCAGGGGGGATACTTCTGAATAGGCCTAGGTAGGGTTTCTCCTATAGAATGAGAGAAGTGGTTGGGTAAGGACAGAAAACGGGTGAGGGTGAGGAGGAAGAAGTGGTAGCTGTAGGAAGGGGTGAGGAGCAGAGAAAGAGCAAGGCTAGAAGCTGGGAGTGGCGGGAGAAAACAAGGCAAAGAGGGTAGGTGAAAGACAAATAGAAGGAGGGCCTTTTCTGTGGCTGTGCCTCACCTCCGGATGGGCTCCCCAAGGAAGTCTGCCTGGCTCCTTCATTACTAGCGTGTTGGCACCAAGCAAAGACTGTTTTATTTTCCAGGCATTTTTACATTTTTGGTGAATTTTAAAGTGTTGTTTTAAGCTGCTATACCTTGTCCATATTTTTGTATTGTAGTATTTTACGGAGCTATTTATTTTAATGTTGGTTTTAATGGAAATATACACCACCCAGAGAGCCCTACCAGGGCTATAGCCACAATCTATAAATTTAATAATACATAAAATAAATAAAAGCAATGCGCAGTGCTATTTTCTCCTCATTGTCTCCTTGCCTTTGGCTTTACATCTTGAATACAGATGAGGTGTTCATTTGGCATGATGCTTCACCCCCGGAGGCCATGAGTCTGTGGCTGCAGCCCCCAAGGTCAGGTCAAGGCATTCTGACGCCTGAGATGGAGTGGCAAATGCCCCTGTCCCTGCCTCGCTCCTGCCCCTGCCACCGGCCATCAAGTTGCACAGAAACAGAGTGAGTCAGAAGGGGCCTCCTGGGCCATCTAGTCTGAGCCCTGGCTCCAGCCGGCCCTGCTCACAGCATGCCCACCATGTGCATGCCCAGCCGGTCCTTGAACACCCTCACCGCTGGGGCCTCAACCACCTCCCATGGAAGCCCATTCCATGCCTAGGCGTCCTAACCGTCAGGAAGTACTTCCTGGCATCCACCCTAAATCTTGGTCCCCTGAGCTTTGCAATGGTTCCCAAGGCCAGTCAAAGCATTCTGGCACTTGAGGCTGACAATCCCGCAAGAGCTTCTTCCCCTCACTGACAGTAACACACAGCCAGAATAAATCAACTGTGGAATAATTTGCAGGCCATTCATGACCCTCAATATCCGGTGGCTGCCTAATTCTGACTAATTGCAGCCATCTCTGAATGCTCTACCTCTTGACACATCCGGATTCAGACAGCCTGCACCCAAGTCCCTGCTGAGATCCCAGATCCCTGGTTCTGTCTGAAGAGCTGGTGACCCTGTTTAGGCCCTGGTGCTCCCTCGGAAACTGGTGCTCGTGCACTGGTGGTGCCAGCACCACTAAACCGACTAAGGGCTCGGCGTCGGCTTGTGCCACTCTGGAAGGGGTGGGGATCCTGCCTCCCTTGACCTGCAGAACCAAGTCTAGATGGGAGAGTGTTGCTGATTTGCTTTGGCAGTTCGTCCCCGCTACCTCATCCTGTTTTGGCTCTCTTAATAAATTGCCTAAATATCTATGCATATGTAACTAAGCATTTGTTATTGTTTTGGTGCACAAAGTTAAATGTCTATTCCCCCACTTGTGCCCAGAGGGGAAAAATCAATTCTGGTGTAATTAGAATTCAAACCACTGGTGTAGTTTTACAAAGGTCATTTTAGACTGGAGAGAGATTGAGAGTGTTGTTGTTAATCGAACAGAGGATATTTAGGCAGACTCTTCAACAATAAATGGTGAGAGCAAACAACATTAGGTCTGCTATCTCTGCAGCCACGCAGATCCACCATAAAAAAACAACAACAAGCGCCCCGTTACAACTTTGGTGGAACAGTCTGTCTTTTCCACCATACTAGCAAGTAGAGTTACATCAGCTGCACTGCTTTCATTCCATACAGACACATCCAGGCTGCAAAAGTCATACAACTTGAGTTCCAAATATATTGGAAATGGCTTGGTAAAGTCAAAAAGGCCTTGATTCTGGAAGTTCCCTTCTCTGATCACAGGGTGCCTTGCCTATCCAGCATTCAAGATCTTCTCCAGCTTTCCCCAGTCTTCCAGCACTCATGTCCCTGCTTGCATTCTCTTGGCAACAGAAGTTTGCAGTTTTCCTTTGCTAATGTTCACTATAACCTACTTTCTCTTATCATTCCAAGTTTTCTCTCCCTCCTCTGAACTTGCTTTGTTTGTTTGTGATGGGCTTATCCCTGGCCTTCTAGAAAACCTTTGCACAAGACAGCTTACAGTATAAAAGAAACAAACAAACAATCAATGACATCAATACCAACCTCCATAGCAACAAATACCAGTTTTATCTTCCTCCGCACTCCCCAGCATCTGTTTGAAGCTGCCTGCTTCCTATATTAGTCTTGTAATTCCTCAGATGCCAGTATTCTTAGAGCCCTCTTTGAACATACAAGAGCTGAAAGCAGGCCACACCCCAATATCCTCTGCCTTTTTATTGCTTGGCATGAGCTCCTGGTCAGACTTCTAGATGATAGGGATGAAGATCTGAAGAGGGTTTCTGCTCTGAGGAATGCATACAGAAGCCTGCCTTATAGGGCTCCTGCCTGCAGCGATCCTTCTTAGCCTCCCTGCGGTCCCCCTACATGCCCTCCCCATTCCCTTTAAGCCATCGCACATTCAGGGCTGAACAGGGTTAGGGTTAGCACCCGGGTGGCAGCACCACTCTGCGGATTCCTTGCTCTCTCCTTTCCTTGCTGCCACTTGCCAGAGACACATCCCCAACCGGGTGCCCACTCAAGCACTGTTCTGGCAAGGAGGGGCTGCAAGGAAGGGGCAGTGGTTCTTTCCACTTTCCTGCTGCTTCTCTTGGGCCGCTCTTGCCAGGCACCTCTATGGTGCTGGCCTTGGTACCACCTTGAACTGGGTTTCCTGGGTTCAGGCAACACTGCAAGCCAGCACGGCGGCCAGGCACCCAGAACAGGACGCGGTTTGTGGTTTCTAAAAGCAAGCATGTGACATGGGATTTTTACTAGTGGAGGGTGGGGCACATTAGTAGGCACTGAGAAAGGTAATTTGGGCACAAGGATTGTTTGGCTCTCTTCTGCTTAAATGTACAGGAACTGCTGAAAAATTGCTAAAAGCAGATATCCTGCCTGAAATGTAGGGTGGGGCAAGACATCTGTTGGAACTGTGCACAGATATGTGTGTGTGTGTGTGTGTGTGTGTGTGTGTGTGTGTGGCTGGGCCCACTTCACACTGGAATAACAGTACTGACACTTGTTTGAATGTGGACTGTATACACAGTTACATTTGGACTTCCAGTGGAAAGAGAGCATAGTTGTGTTTGTTAACATATGAAAAACTTTAGCCAAGCTAAACAGAATCATTCTCGATGTATTAGTTTAAGGCTGCACTCATGTTGAGACAGAAATGAGTCCTCCAGCTCCTGCATGCTGTTTGGAGCTTGTTGTGAGTTGTGGGACTTCTTCCTGACTAAACATGCACAGGATTGCCCTCTAAATGGGAACTCTTTTTGAGTTTAAACTCAATCTCTTATTTGCTTGGTAATACAATCTTTGCAATTTTATTCTGAGAATTAATTTAGAGGGTTTTGTTGTTGTTTTACGATTAATCATCTTTACATGTTAAGGGTTTTTTTCATGGTAATCTAATTACATCTTGTGCTTGCTTGATGCATTTGAGATTAACATTCATTTATAAGAGGTTTATTTGGCATATTAATCCACGTCTTTCAATTTGTAATCATTGTTCTTGCAAGCAGTGATCCTACGGTTATTCTCATGGGATTTTGTAACTTGCATACTTTGAGGACTCGGTAAACTGTTAATCTTTTCAGCCAGTCTGGTTTGTGACTGAAAATACACTAAGCCTGCAATCTTGTAGTCACTTACCTGGGAGTGAGTCACATTGAGTTCAATGGGACTTAATTTTCAGTAGACTGAAATTGGATTCCACTCTAAAGCATTAGAACACTAGAACTGGAATTTGCCAAAAGGTCAAAATGCATCATGCAAAACGTGGAACTGAGACCAAGATGTTAGCAGCTGCTTACTCAACAGGCTGACTTGTTGACAGAAGAAATATATGAGACAGCCTCATACAGAACACTTCACTGCGGTCCAACAGCTGCTCTCTAAGAGTTCAGACAGTGGTCTTTCTCAGTCTTGCCTCCTTTGGACCCCTTTCAACTGGAGCTGCTATGGGACAACTCTGGGACCCTCAGCACGCAATGCTGCTGCTTTTGCCACAGAGCGATGCTGGTCTCTCACTCCCGCACCATCCCTGGCTATGGAGGTTTTGCAGTTGATACAGTGATAAGCTTGGAGACTGGACAGAAGAGAGTTAATGGAACATGAATCGCTCTAGCAAAGTTGCCTTCCTTTGTCAGGGGATTTGTGGATTGCTCTCAGTACTTGCCCTGAAAAGCTTTAGAGGATCTGAAGTGCGAGCAGCTGATGGAGACTTTCTGTTGTAGCATTTAAGCTGCATGGCTTCATCTATACTCAACCTGTATTTGTAAATAAGTAGAAAAATGCAGCATGCCAATAGGTCTCCTGTGATCTCATTCTAATGGAAACCAAACCTAGGTAAGTGCTATCTGCCAGGCACCTCTCGCTGCTTGAAGTGTGGGGGTGGGTAAACAATGTTTATAACTCAGCTTTTTGCAATAGTTCGGGTGGCACCCTCACTCTTGAAAACATTTTCCTCTCCAGCCATGGATCTCTGTCACGCTGAGCAGGGCTGCTGCAGATGCAGGCACGCTTTGGCCCCTGCCAGGAGCCCCCCTGCCAGCGGGGGCCCATGGACAAGGGCTTCCTGGGCCTGCCTCTCCACCTCACCACTTGAGTCAGCTTGCTCGCCTTCCTCTTGCCATGACCCACATGGGGAGGTGGGGAGGCAGAACGGGAGATTTATTTGTTTATTTATTTAGAAAATTTCTATGCTGCTGCCAGCTGGCTCCCTGGCTCTTGCTCCATCCAGCAAGCAGGTGGCGGTGGTGGTGAGGAAGAGGCGGAGGAGCAATGGTGGTTGGGCCTAATGGCTGTGGGAAGGTGGACTCACGGCGGGGAGCAGGAGAAGCACTGAGGGTGCTTGCCCAAAGGCCCTCCGAGCTGGGAGCCCACACTGATTGCAAGCCATCTCCTTTTCCGCAGCAGCCCTCTGTTCCTGTGGGATTTCGAAGACTAATCGAGAAATGGAAGAAAAGAGGCCAGATTGCAGGTAAAGAGGCAGAGCGGCCTGTCTACAAATCACAGGCGTTTGTATAATGCATTGCAAAGCCAGCAAACCAACTGTTTGTAGAAAGGAAATCAAGACATAAAACCATCCTCTTGTGTTCCAGCCAGAACGCTCCTGTCGCCCATGTGGTGCTTTTCTGCCTCGTTTTTTAATAAAAGAAATGGCTTGCTCTCGACTGCATTAGAGCTAAATTATCATTTATGTTTGTCAGAGGGGTTGCTAATGTGTAATGAGATTTTAGAGTTAATGTTTTGTACAAAGCACTTAGCTGAGCTGGGATGAAATTGGTTTAGGATTTTGATGTGGTGTTTTAATTAAAGATAGTTTCCAATCAGGGCCGAGTGAACGGCTTGTCAGAAGATTTTGTTCCCATCAGCCAATACTCCAGTGTAATCCCTGTCTTGCTGTGTGTATTTGGGTACCACTGAAAAAATCAGGTTTAGCTTTGATCTGTCTTTAGGAAGGTGGCCCGTTTGTGGGAAGGATGTGGAGATGGAGTCGATGGCATGGATATGGATACGATCGTTTTGTACCTCACCTGGACAGTGAAGAAAGCTGATAAGAAGAAAATGGATGTATTTGAAACATGGTGCTGGAGGAGAGCTTTGCAAGTACCCTGAACCAACAGAAAGGCAAATGAGAGCTTCCACAGATGCAAACATGACAAAAATGAGGCTGTCATCCTTTGGACACGTCATGAGAAGGCAAGACTCCCTGGAGAAGACAAGCATGCTAGGGAAACTCAAAGGCCGAAGATGAAACGGAAGACCAGATATGAGATGGCTTGAATCCATACAGGAAGCCTTGAGCTTGGAAAGTTGAATGGAGCTGCCTTGGACAGGACATTTCAGAGGGCTTCATTCATAGTGTCACTATAAGTTGGGGACAACTTGATGGAACAGAACAACAACAGCCCTCGCCTGAGTTTGCACAAGGTCCTTTTTAAAAAAATCTCGATACACAGCCTGGTTACATTTTCCGAAGAGAAGAGTCGTAGCTTAGTTGGCCCTCATCGGCCATCCTATGAGAATGAAGAGCCATGCAAAGGAAGAGCTGGACCTTGAAATGGCCATCAGCAGCACCTGGGCAGCCGACACAGCAGTGCCTGGCCACGCTCTCCCACACGATGGCGAGACGTACGATGTCTCCGTCTTAATTATAACACTTATGACTATATTTGCATCTATGCATATGAATCAGGGCATGCAAATATTATGCAAACTGTTATCCTCTTTCGTTCTCATTATTGGTGATACATTTCCCCCTTTTTGGCAATTCATACCTGGACTTTGCAATGTTTACCTAACCCAAACCAAGCAAACCTGGGTCACCTTTGGTTGTAGTACACCGAACCTTGTTTACTGCATGAATCTTGGGCTAGGAATGAAATCCTTCTAGTAACTGTGATAGACTCTTGGAAACCTAACTTTAAAAAAAAACTCAATAAACAGCATTCTCCCCTGCTCCTTTTTGGATGGAGCAGCATGACAGACCAGCCACAGTTATCTTCTGTTTACTGAGCACGTTATCCTTGCAACCCAGGCGAATCCTCCTTTACAACCCCCCACCCCCTCCGTCAAATGCTTTTCTGGGGGCCCAGCTTCCTAGTCACTTCCTAGCATATCTTCGTAAAGCATTCATGAGCAATGGCCTGAAAGACCTTTAGGGAAGTGGCCCCCTTGAGTTGCTGCGTCTGCGAACTTGGCAGGAGCGAGAGGCTGCACGATCCGTGTAGTCCGAGTGCAGAAAGGTCAAGAGGATGCCGCGTGCATCCAGCACGCTTTCCTGTTATTGAAGAGGCAGCGCTGTGTCTCGTGCTCGGTCTCTCTCGCTTTGTGTCTCTAACTTGCTTTGCAGACGATGAATGGGGCGGGGGGGAGACCTCGGCTAGAATGTCTCTTCCCGAGTTTCAAAGGGAAGGGATGCCCATTTGACCAGTTTTCTACCTGTTGTAAGGAAAAGAAGGGATCCAGCCACTACTATTTCAAGAAATAAGTCAAGGCAGCTCCCGAGGAGAATGGTGCCTTGAAAGTAGTGGGGAGGAATGGCAGTGACCCCCTTTGCTTTTCGGTTTCTTCTGAAAATTAAAGAGCATTCCTGGTTGGCAACTCCCCTCACACACTTTTGTCCAAGAGTCCCTCATGTGGTCCCTGGGGGTGCCATGTCACCTGCAGAGACCACCTGCAGGAACCTCCAGGAAGCCCACTACTCCCAGCCCACTTTATTTTTAATTCAAAAACTGGCATTTAGGGTCCCTGAGTTCTCCTTCCTGTTCATGAACCTGCCGCTGAGCAGTGAGCAAAAAGACGGAGAGAGTTGTTTCCCGGCTCCACACAATCCTCTCTTGTCCACAAAGACCCTTCTCCGTTGTGCTTTGTCTCCCCATTTTCAGCCTCTACCGCTGCTTTTTCTCCTCCCGACACCTCTTTACCTTACAGTCGTCACCCCCCCCCCGTAGCCTCCAGCCTTACTCTTTCGCGCCTCCCTACCCGTTTGCCTTGCTGTTTCACTCTCCCTTCCATCCTCTGATCCTGGCATTTTGCCCACCCCATATTCACACACCTCTTTAACTAACCAGGCCCCTTGGCGGGCATTACTGGTCCAGCCATGGCTTTCATCGGAATCATTTTGCACAACTCCCCAAATGTGTCTACAGGTCCAAAAAGTTGGAGACCCCCACCCCAGTTTCCTCAGGAGACAGCATGTTACAGCCCACCCAGCATTTTCCAACTAACCAAATAAATCAATAAATGCAAGCAATCCAAAATCGTCATTTACAACAAAAAACACAATACCTTCTCCCATTCTTCTTGAACCCAGAGCCAAGAATCAGCACATGGGATAAGATGTCCAAACTCTTCTGCAGCACTGATCTAACAAGGGTGGCAGGGATGGGATGCCCATCCATATTCCCAGACACTGCTGGTACATCTGCATTACAAGCATATCTGTCTTTTGTACTGTTTCTCCCCCCACAGAACATTGGGAATCGTAGTGTTCTGAGCTCCACAGAAGTATTATTAGCAGAAAGCAAGGTTTTGTCTATTGGATATTTGTCACCAACTTTGGAAATATCTCTGCTCCTCTCCTTAATCTCCTTCACTTGCTCATGCTGTTTGTGCACAGAGTGAGAGATAATAACGGGCTTGCTGTAGTACTTGGTGTTCCCATAATAAATGACAGACTCCTTACATAAATTGTTCGAGCATGGAACACTGCTCTTATTTCTTAATGATAAGAGCCCAGGAAGTGCCCTTTACCAAAAGGAAAAGAACAATTTCTTTTCTTTTTATTCTGTTATAATAAAATCAACCAGCTTTGTTGTGGCTTCAGGTACGCAATATTTTTGCAGCAGGTCTAGGCCTTGTGGTAGACCACAGGTATTTTTAATCTTTCTTGCGACCGGGCAAACCATGCTAATTATTAGGAGTGGAAATGTACCTGCAGCTTAGTAATTTTGTTCTCAATGAGATACAGGCTTATCCATCTTGCACTTCCTGAATATGCCTAAACTTGGATGTAGTAGCACTCCAAAGCCCTCGTTTTTCCAAATGTTGCAGCAAAATGAATGGTTTAAACATGCAGTCAAAAATCAATAAAATCCTTCCAGTGGGGGATACGCCCACTGGGGGTCACATGATGCAGTGAGTCACGCGGTGGCCTATAAACCCAGAGGGGGCAGGGGTGGCCAGAGCCGCTTCAGAGCCACTCGACAAGAGCAGCTGAAATGTTTTGCTGCCCCTGCTAAGTGGCTTTGGGCAAGCAGGGCTGGCAGCCCCCGCAAAGTGCCCAGGCAGTGCTCGGAGGCAGGGTCAGAGGTCTGTCCATGGCTGCCCCACGCTGCTGCTCGAGCAAACCTGTGCGCAAAAAGGCACGTCCAGCCTGCTGGCTGGAGAAATCTCTTCTTCCCCGGTCTCCATGCCTGCCATTTTGGGGGGGCAGTGGCGTCCACTGTTGTTCTCGTGCAGCTGCTGATCCTGACGCAGAGGGGCTGCTTCTTACCAACCGCTTCCGCGCGGGATAAGCTGCAATGTGGGGCAGCCACCAAGGGCCCCAGCACAGCAGTCCTTCAGGTGCAGCTCCTCTCTCTCGGGGTGGACAGCAGCCTGCACTGTGGCTGCCAAGGTTGGCTCACAGGTCGGGTGAGGTCTGCAGCCATCCTTGCTCCCCCAGTGTCCCCTGGGGAGGATTGCTGGGTGAAGATGGGGGGGGGCAGAGGTGCCCTAGGACCCCTTCTCTGCCTGATTGATTGTCAGGCAAGTTAGGATCCCCAGACTAAATAGCAGGCACCAAGTGTCATGAGAACCCAGGCACTATAATGTTCTCTCTCTCTCTCTCTCTCTGTGAGTGTGTGAGAGAGGGAGGGAGGGAGGGAGGGAGGGAAGGTGTGCACTGGGAAAGTGTGCATAAAAATGCATATGTCTGGAAGTATGTACAGCGAAATCAGGCACTTGTGTGCAGATTTCCAGATTGCGGCAGAAAGGGAGTGACACGAGCTTGCGTCTGGGAAACTGATGAGCTGGATGAAAGCAAACTTGGCAGAATCACTCATCCCTGGTGGCGGGAGAGCAGCTCCGCCTGCACAGCCAAGCAACATTATGTTCTGCAGCAAATTAGTAATGTGGCAATCTTATTGCTAAGGTAAAATTCTGACTCCTTATTTGCACCAATGGAAGCATCGCTGTGACTGGGGAAGTGACCAGCTCCTCTCTTGCCACTGGTAGTATTTAGAGCTCATGATGGTCTTGAAAGGCACAAGTGATATTTTGAAAGAAGATTGGCTTTTTATCCATCGTTTTCGTCTCTATTTCCCATCTCTGTTTCTCTAATCAGACCACATGGTTCTTATTTTCTGGCATATTCTGTTCCATTGTTGCAAGAGCTCTCTGGAGACCTACCAGAAAGCACCCGCTTAGTGGGATGGATGCTTGGAAAACAGGCCACTTTTGGATGCTTTTTCTGAAGTCAAGAGTTTTAGAACATGTTTAAGTCCCAGATGCATTCTTCATCAATTATAAATCCATACTTGGTGTTTACAAAGGTTTCTTGTTTATCATGAAATATTCATTTTTGAGCTCTGCATCTGCTGTCCTGTTGTCATCTAGTGTTCACTCAAAGGAAATGAAATACTCTAAAATAACCTTTTGGATGTATGGCTCAGCTTTTGGAGGCAGCCAGTCTCTCAGGCAACTCCAGTTAAGTGGTACAAGGCAGCAGTGAAGCAAGACTGCATTGCCGGATTTCTCACCATGCAGGATGCAGGGAGCTCTTTAGAAGGCAATCAAGTGGCGGAATCTTTTTTACCCTCTCGTGACTGGTTTTGTTTCCCCAAATAAAAATAGCCAAGCAGGTAGGAGAACTGTGCAGGAGTGCACTGTTTCTAAAACACTAGAAGATTGCTAGGACTTGTTAGAAGGCTGGCTGCAGGGAGCTTGCCCGCATACGTGTACCAGGGCACAACGCTACGTGTGTCTGGATGGAAATACATCCTCCCACTTCTACCTTTCCCCAGCCCAGTTCACATTTGGGGGCTGCTTCTGGATCCAGCATTAAGTCTAGTTGCCTGCCGTGGCTCGGAGTACTTTTACCCAGTTCCATTTGGTCAGCCAGCTCTACCGTTTCCAGGATGCCAGCTGCACTGCTTAAGCCTCAGTTCATTAGTCCACATCTAGCCACCTGCAGATCCTAACGACTGGTTTTAGACTCTTGGGATCCTCCTAGAATCTGATGGAAAAGAGGGAGAGAGTTGCTCTGAGTGGGTTTGAGGAATTAATAATGTGCCCCAGCATGGCCAGAGGTTTCCCACCTCCTACCTAGAACTATCAAAGGTAGGCCCAGCCCATGTTTGGTGGCCATGGAAAGGAAAGCTGTCATCTGCGAACTGAAGATCTTTAGCCTCTTCCCCTGTGGTGGAAAGTGAAGCATCTCTTGACTCTGAGATCTCAAATCGCATCGTATCTGGCTGCTAAGGACAGGACCCAACCTATCTGGCCCATCCAGGGACTTCCTTGAAATGGCGTTTGTTATGCCGCTGCCGGGACATCTATATCGATCATCTATCTCTCAGTTTGTTTGACGTTTTCCCAAGCAATCGGACAACCCTGAGGCACAGATGCTGACTAGATGGAGGTAAATGTCTCTTTCATCTCTGTCTTCCCTGTTGTAACAAGCTTTTAGAGAAGGGCACGGTCACTCTTAAAACCAGAGTGAAGCAGAAAGCAGCATGTGTTAGTCTGGCCTTCAACACCACAAATTTCTTTCTCAGCAAGGCCGGTGCAAATCCTGAGGGACTTTACAGATGAAGATAGCAACTTTTAATTAAAAGGGTTTCGCACAAGAACTTTTGACCTCATTTGCCCCTCAGGAACAATTCGTTGATGAGGGAACACTGCATGGTGATTGGATGGATTCAGCCAAAATGGCCTATTTCATCTTTGGACGTGAGCAATGGGTGTCATGAGAAAACAGAGGAGTGGTTCATCCAAGCCAGCCAGG